TACTGCTGTTACACAACACAAAACGCATAAAAACCCGAGAACCAAGCAAACCAGGGAGCTGAAATTTCAGAATGCTATTCTTTGTGCAAGCCTGATTCTCAGGTGTGGATGCGTAAAAGTTTTGGCGCCGAAACGGACAACTCGGGAAGCACAAAAGCCATGAAGCTGAAATTTCAGGGTAGTGTTCACTTGCCGTGTGTGATTCAAAAAAAATAAAAAAAAAAACTCGACCTCCAGGCGCAAATATATCTCACGTCAGAACATGTGAAATTTTTGGCGCCAGAGTAATTCAGGAACCGCAAAAGCTAAGGGAGTGAAATTTTAGGAAGCCCTGCTCTATAAATTTAAATTCAGTTTTTACTTGCGCCCAGGCCTCACGCACGGAAATGCGGAAGTTTCGGTGTGAAAATTGCTGCTTCGGAAACGAGAAAAGCCAGGAATCCGAATTTTTTGAGAATGTTTTTTTCTGCTAATGAGCCAGCAAATTCAAAGTCAGTCCCCGCACACCTGGGTCCCACGTAGGGGCACGTGAAATTTTCGGCGCGAAAGTCACCTTGGGAACCACGAAAACTAGGAAGTTGAACTTTCTGGATAATCCTCCTACCCTCATATAAATCCAGTCCTTTCGCACACTTAAATTCCGGGTATGATTAAGCTAAAGTTTTGGCGCCAAAATTAATGGCATGAGAACCACAAAAGCCGGAAAGATGAAATTTTAGGAGATCGTCCCCTGCCCGTGTATGACCCAGAAAAAATAAATCCGGCCTTCCACTGCGCCCAGGTCTCAAGCACGAACATGTGAAAATCCTGGCGCGAAAATTAACCCGGGAATCAGAAAAGCCAGGAAGTTAAAACATTAGGGGACTGCTCCTGCTCGCGTATGATCTCTAAAATCCAACCACAGTCCCTCCCCACTGCGCAAATTTGGTTGACCTCGCATAGGGACATGTGGAGTTTTAGGTGTCAAAATTAACAGCTCGGGAACTGGGAAAGTCAGAAGTTGAAATTTCAAAGCACTGGAAAATTTGGAATCCTGCTAAAATGCTAATGAAAATAATGAAATTAACAGCTTTTAAAAAAAGTAGGAGCAAGATGGGGTAAGACGTTTCTTCGGCACATGTGTAATTTGGCCGCAGTGTTGGCCATCAAAGGAAAAACAGTCGAATTTTAATATTTGGTGAAACTGAAAAAAGCCATTTAGCTATCTCAGGTATGCAAACCGGTATTTGGAGTAGGCGACGTCTGTGTTTCA